AAGAATATACTTCGTATATTTAGAAGTATTTTGACTCAGAATGCATGTATCACCCAAGAAACACAGATCAAGTTTAGCAAATGGAAATGACTGTGTCAAATGTTTGAGACACTTTGGAAATCTGTTCTTTGGTAGTTAACATGACAGGAAATTTATACTGGGATTTTAACTGGGCTTCCCTCCAGTAAAATAAAACTTCCTGGAATAGGATCTACTGTCATAACCTCCCCTGAGAGACAAAATGAAGGTCCACCCCATCATGGTGAAGATATAAAAATAGTGATTCCTTGACAGTTTCATGTAAATTCCTTGAAAGGTTTTAAGTACTCCTTTAAAGTTATTTTATTATAGATATATGAATGATGACTTTCAAAATGAAAATTTATATGAACTTGGACTCTTTTCTTGCCAGAGCTTTATAGAAACAACTTTAAAAGCAAGTTTGGTCCAAGTGATACCAATGTCAGACTGCACCATGTTTGGTTCAGACCCAAAATATCTGCATGTTAACATGCATTCTCCCTGCATTCATAAACAAATCACTGTGTTCTCTGTCTGACTTCCCCATAGCACATATCATAGCAGATGTCCATCAGCTTTGGCCAGATTTCCTTAAGGTCCTCTTCTTAGATTCAGTCACTTCTCTCTGGCTCTTTCAATACACCTTTTCAATCTTGAAGGATTCTTTTTCTTCCACTTACCCCTTAAATGAAGGTTCCCTGCAACCCAGTCCTTTTTTTTTCCCTTTTTTTTTTTTTTTTTGAGATGAAGCTTCATTCTTTTGCCCAGACTTTAGTGAAGTGGTGCAATCTTAGCTCACTGCAACTTCTGCCTCCCAGGTTCAAGCAAGTCTCCTGCCTCAGCCTCCCAAACAGCTGGGATTACAGGTGCCTGCCACCACGTCCTGCTAATTTTTGTATTTTTAGTAGAGACTGGATTTTGCCATGTTGACCAAGCTGGTCTCAAACTCCTGACCTCTGGTGATCCACCCACCTTGGCCTCCCAAAGTACTAGGGCTACAGGTGTGAGCCACCATACCCAGCCTTCCTCTTCTTTTGGGTTTACCAGTGAGGACAATGTGAAGGCCTTCAATCAAATGTGATCCATAAGTGTGTTTTATTTGTGACTCCAAATATCATAATTTTGAAAAGTAAAGACATTTCATGCTACCATCCAGAGTTTTACTTAAATCTAAAAAAAATTAGGAGGTATGTCATTATGCCTACAGGCCACAGCTGGCAACATCTCCCATCAGATGAGGTGTGTGCCTTCCAGGCTGCCACTCTCTGCCCCGAAATTTGAGGCCAAATTTCTGCTGCCATTTATCATCCTAGAATGGTCCTAAATTCTTTCATTTAGATCCTGTATGCACTGAGTTGGTGAGCTCTAAAAATTAATGCAATAATTCTTCTTAATCTCATTCATTTCCACTACTCACCCTGATGTGGATGATTGCCATGGTGATCACTGCCTCATTTAGTCATTCACTCTACAATCCTTCATTGAGCACCTATTACACATCATGAATTATTCCAGATGCCTGGTTTTCAAAGACAGATGAGATATGGCCCTGCTCTTAATGAGACAGGGAAGTCCATCCATCTTTGCTGAGCTCCAGACAGCAGGGATTTCTCTCATAGTGGACTTTCAAGGCTGGCAGAAACTCAGCTATTCTGGCCTAAAACTTCCACAAGAAACCCTCTTCTGAGTACTCCAGGTAATGAAAACAAGGGTCCAATATCTCCTCTCTCCTTTTCCCATTAAAATCCCATGGAATCTGGCAAATAATTGTCTAAAGCTCTATCTATCTATCTATCTATCTATCTATCTATCTACCTATCTATCTATCTAATTTTGAAGGAATTGCTAAAAACTAAGCACCAACTGGAAAAAGTATTTATAGCCACGTTCCAAGTCCTTGATAGGTCCAACTGAGAAGATCCCCTGGCCTACCTCTCTCCCACAGGCCCTAACTTGTGGATAGAAAATAAGACCAATCTGGCAAGTAGGTGGCATGAGGAAAGAAGACAGAGCTAATATACCACGTCTGATTTTGGTCTTCTTACCTGCATAAGGGTCATAGACATCGTTCAACAAACAACAACCAGACAATTTTTCTTATGTGCTGAGCCACACCAGTTACTGACTGCATTGAAGACACACGCCAATTTGGGGGATGGGACAGGAATCCAGCAAAAAGCTTTGTGTAGACAACCATAACATCATACCAACAGCGTTTTGGAATGCTTTCTTTGGCCCTCCTCTATTCCTTAAAATGTCATCCAGTCACCAAAGTGATTTCCTCTTGATCTGGGCCTGAATGGACTTTTCTGCTCCATGTTCATGAAGTTCTGGAGTTTGCATAGTGAGTATAAATTCCTGTGCCCTAAGCCTCGCACAGAAGCAGTCACATGGGCAGACACAAGGGGACCATGTAGGCTTGGTCAGTTCCCCCATTAGAAGGAATAAAACACAAATTCCTAACCATGGAACCCAAGATACTGACAGCATCTGCCTTTCTAGGTAAGTGGTGAGACTTACCTTAAGCATAAATAAGGATAATTTGCAGACAGGAAAACAGGAAAGTGTTGGAGTCAAAATGACATTGATTTATAGTAAATAAAGAAATTCAGATTTCTTAACTTGCCTCAGAGTTAAAAGAACACATTAATTAAAAGGCAAAATTAATGAAAAGAAATTTGTACCTGAACTGACTTTTTTAAGGCCTTCCAAGTTTAAAAAAAAGCAGTATTTTCTTTCAAAGGTAGAAACACAAGAGAAGACAAAAATGTGGACAGCTCGACAACATCACAGTAGTGGGGGGTGCAATAGCTGACTGAAGAGGCCTGAAGCCCCAGTTGGCAATGGGGCAAACAAATGGCCAATCTAATTTCCAGTGCAAAATCTGCCCCACACCATCCACCCACCCACCCATGACATCCTGGATGTCATGCTAAGAAATCTGTATTTTATTCCTTATAATGTGGGAACTGACTAAGGCCACATGGTCTGTTGTGTCTGCTCACCCAGTGGAGCCAAAATAAGAAAGATTCCCTGAAAGGCAATGAAAGAAAACAATCAGTACCGGGATCCCTTTCCCCACATATGTGTAACTAGGTGACTGCCCTCTCAATCCTGGAGGAGCACTGGAGGTTTACTCTCAGAAAGCAAACTCCCTCCTCACAGAGGGAGACTCTGGGATATCTGCTGCCAGGATGACTCACTGAAAACAGGGAAATACGTGGATTTGCGCACAGAGACCCCAACTCTACTTCCTGAATGCTGGCAGCCAGGCTATCTCACCTTCTAGGCAGAAGAGGAATAGAATCTTCTCTAGGGAATCTAACCAGCTCAAGGGGAAATACCTCAAAATTCCAATGTCAAGAGTCAAGTTCCTGGACTCCACAGTACAGACAGATCATCCCACATACAGGACACAGTCAGCAGCCTGCTTAGAACAGTATCTGACTCACAGTTGCTGCCTGATGAATACTCACTGAAGAAAAACTGGATTATTTTTTAAACAAGCTTGCAGTTTGTTATTCTTTACAACCCCCAAGCATCATAGTACTGCAATGGAGAATCCATATATGAAAAGAAAGAAACAAATTCCTTAGAGTAACAGTCAAAGTACTTTACAGTCCAACTTCCTCTTCCCCAGCAAGTGGATTTTCTGTCTGAGGCCTTGGAAAGCAGCAAATGCAAGATTAGGGGAAAGAGCTCAGGGGCACACAGACCTGAGGCCCAGCCCTGGCTCTAGCACTTACCAGCTGGGTGACTTTCAGCAAGTTACCTAAATATTAAGAAAAGAAGAGTAATGGCTATTTTAAGATAGTGATGAAGATATGCAAGCAGTGATCAAATGGATAATGGGAGAGTCAGACACAAAGAGTACACAGGGTTGGGTTCCATTTATTCAATGTTCTACACAGAAAACACTAATCCATGATGATAGGTATCAGATCGGTGGTTGTCTGCATAGAGGGAATAGACTGATTTAAGAGGGATAACAGGGATTTGAGGGAATTTTATGAGATTACCGGAATGTTTTATATTTTAAGTACAGTGGGTAAAAGACTCAGAGGGTATAGGTAAAATCTGTGCATTTTATTATGTGTAAATTATACTTCAATTAAAAATAGATTGAAGAAAAAAATAAAATATTTTTAATGATGTGTGATTTAATAGTCTATATAGAATATGGTTTTATATTTCAATTAACTACTGATTCATAATTACTTTATAATAGCATGGTACTTTTATTAAAATGGATTTTTCCCAATAAAATATCAATTGTTAAAAATAGGAAATACACAGAAAAAACACTTCAAATTCACCAACCAATAAATTGTATTTCTGTGAAATACACAGAAAAAACACTTCAAATTCACCAAGCAAATTTTTCTGGTTCACCAACCAAATGTTAACCAATTGTTAACATTTGCTTTATCTACTTCCAGACATTTTTCTACGCATAGATTTTTTTTTTTTTTTTTTTTGGAGACAGAGTCCCATTCTGTTGCCCAGGCTGGAATGCAGTGGCACAATCCCAGCTCACTGTCATTTCCGTCTCCCAGGTTCAAGCAATTCTCATGCCTCAGCCTCCCAAGTAGCTGGGACCACAAGTGTCAGCTACCACGCTGGGCTAATTTTGGGGTTTTTTTGTTTTTGTTTTGTTTTTTAATAGAAACGAAGTTTCACCAAGTTGGCCAGGCTGGTCTTGACTCCTGGCCTCAGGTGATCCGCCCACCTTGGCCTCCCAAAATGCTAGGATTACAGGCATAGGACACTAACCCCAGCCCTATGCATAGCTTTAAAAAAAAAAAAAAAAAAAAAATTATCCTGCTAGCACAAGTCAAACATGCAGGGCAGGGTGGGGGTGGAGGGATTAAGATTTAAGAAAAATGGTAAAAAATAAAAACTTAAATTTCTTATTAATTTATAAATGATAATACCAGATATTGACTAGTAATATGTTCAGAAATATGTTTACATAAAAGCATTTTTAAGATGTGAGAAAAAACTGAAAAGTACCTGGATAATGATTTATGTGCAAATATTGACACATGCATGAGAATATCTGCAAGAACTTAAGAGGATCCATTAGCAAATGTAGCTCTATAAATCTATTTTGAGTGAGAGTGGTGTTTTAACTATATGTGTTTATGTATTTTTAACTATATTATGTATGTAGATATGCACATACATACATAGAAAACATTTGAATTATTTACTAACTGAAAAAGAATTACCAATATAGACATAATTTGTCATACAATGAGGAAATATTACAAAGAGAAGGATGCTAAGGGACCATGGTATAGAAGGCCCACACTTCACAGCTGAGAAAATTTTCAAGCAAAGAAGTTAAGAATCCTGCATAAGGTCACACCACTAAAGAGCAGTATGGTTGAGCCTGGCTAGGTCCCCGGCTGGCTTTCTTTCCATACACACCACTGCAGCCATATGGTGCAAAGTAATCAGATGCTGTTGGCAGTAGGAATATGAGCCTATGTTACCTTATGAAGGTAACATTCAACATTAATGCATATAATTAGAATAATATATGTTTTACTTTTAAATTAAGGAAACAGATAAACGGACTCTTTGTAGCCTAATAGTTTTCTTTTGTTTTAATGTAATAAAAGAAACTACCCACACTTAATACAATCACACTAATGAAAAGTAATGTGCAAGCTTTTTAATTTTATTAGCTTTGGTAGTTCTGAAATAAATTGTCACATTTTATGAATTTAAACCATAAGGCTAAATGCATTTTTTCTCACTTCACAAGACCCTTAGCATCTACTGTTAAAACGATTTTGAGAAAACATCCATCACTGTTCTTTCAATGAATACACTGAATTTTCTCTGCAATATCTGCCTACTTTTTACTTGAATTAAAAACATTTAAATTATTTTTATATAAAATGGTTTCCCAACAACTAAGTTTATGAGAATGAAGAAAATGACCCATTATTTCATCCTAATTAAGGATCACAGTAATGAAGTATCACTTAGTAGTTCTCAACCACATAAGTGGCTAGTAATTCTACCATAAGAAGAGGGCATAGGCTGTAATATGTCGGTTTAAACCACTTTAGCTCCTAAATTGTGGTGAACTTGGGAGCAGTGGAAATTTAATGCTCTTGAAACAACACTCTCCCCATCCCAAAAAGGACAAGAACTCTGGTCCCAATTCCTCCAACAAAATCTCCCAGACCAAAAATATCACAAACAGGAAACATTCATAGTTAAAAATAATTAATAAGCTTTCAGAAGTTCCAATTCCATGAGAATTCAATGCAATGTCTAATGTTCCTAGAATTTAAGACTTACTTTTTTTTTTTCTAGTACAAACTTAGGGCTCTTTATTCAGGCAGTAAAGTAAGGAACAGCAAAGTGGGAGGGTTACCATCACCATGGCAACAGAAAGCCTCAAAAACATAGAGTCCCTCGACTTCTGTTGAGTAGACTCTTTCTAGCTCAGGAGAAACACATTTTAACTGGCTGAAAACAAGGCCAGGCAGCCTGGCCACACTGTGGAAGGATGGCTGGGTGTGCGGCCTCTGGTCAGTCCTGGAAGTGCTTGGTGAGGGCTTCCAGCAGCTCCTGCTTCTTCAGCCCACTCTTCAGCCCATATGCCCGGCACGCCTCTTTCAGCATGGGCACAGTGAACTTGCCCAGTGTGCCCTTGCTAATGTGGGTCCTCAGCTCTTCTTCTGAAAACTCCACCTTGGGCCTTTTGCTTCCAGAACCCTCATTATCGTGTTTTCTCTTGGTAACGTTCCCTTCATGATTGTAATCTGGTGGGTAAACAAGCTCCTTAAATTCATCCACCAGGGAACCCAGTCTTTTATTCATTGCTTCAACCCTGGGCAATGTCAGATCCACTGCTTGTTCAGGATCCATCAAATCCAAGGCCAAGGCCTCCAGGTTCCTGAAGTGTTGCTGCAGCATGGGGTTCTCAAAACTGTCACTTCTGTATGTGAAGCAGAGCTTCTCAACAATAGCCTTCATCTTGTCCATCTGCTCTGGAGGTGCCATGATCTTTTCAGTAAAGGGCATCTTCCTTTTATCATCAGCAAATGGTAAAAAGACCAGCTGAAAGCCTGGAGGAGTGGCCTGAATTTTCCGGTTGTCCAACTCCTCATCCTGTGGCACGAAAGCCACAAAATAAGGGGGGATGTTCCTCCGGGGTGTATATCTGCACAATGCTGCGACCTCCTTCTCCAGACACTTGATGAGCAGAGCACTGAACAGAATTGAGCTCCCAATCACCAGAGACCCCTCTGGGTACACGAACAGGGAGGGTCTCAGGTAATGGTGCTTCTTCAACATTACCATGGGCTTGAAGCCCATGAACATCAAACCTGGATCATCAAATCTCTCAGGTAATGGTGCTTCTTCAACATTACCATGGGCTTGAAGCCCATGAGCATCAAACCTGGATCATCAAATCGCTTTAGCTCTTCTGTTTCCTCTTTCTCCAGTATAATCTGACAACTTCCATAGATCTGCGACCTCTTGGTATTGCTAGGCAGAAGCAAACCACCTGTACTTGTATTAAATGTCCAGGTCTTAGTTTTCACTGGTTCATTTGTTTCCCGATAGAGCTTTATTGGAGGAGGCTTGAGAGCCTTCTGGACCAGATTATAAATGTGGACAAAGATCACTACATCTTTGTTGAGCTTCAGCTTTAACCTGCAAAGTGCTCGCTTCCTGGTCTCCTTGGCGTGAACCTTCCACAACAGGTCTTCTAGCTTGCTGGATTCCTCAAAGTGAACCCTGAGGTCCTCATCCTCTGCTATGCTGATAATATCTCTGTAGAACAACGATATGTCAAAGCCCCCAGGTTTCTTCAGGTGCATCAAGTCAAGGAAGATGCCTGTATCTTGGAGATCACCGGCTTTGGTCCTGGCCTGGCTGGCTTTGGCACTGTCATTGCCGTGGGGGTTGTCTTCATCGGTGAAAAGCATGATCCTCCTATGACTCATCTTGAACTGGACATCACTAAAGAAGTTGGCAGAGACCCACAGCACTTCACTGAGTGAGTAGTCAGATCCGTGGCCCATCAGCTCTTGGAAGCGTTTTTGTCCCTGCTGCCCCTTAAACTGGTCAAGCTCTAGAATTCGTTTTGCCCCTGGATTATCCAACTCCTGTAAGACGTAAATATTTTTAAAATTCACTGAATTTTTGTCTTTCTCAGTACCATAGAACACCACTGCCAAGAGATCTCAATCACTGCTTATGATCTTACTGATGTACACACTTAGGATACACTGGATGCTCATGTCAAAAGAAGTCAACTCATCTTCACTATGAGATTCAAACATAGCCCTGGAGTCATCAACCAAAAAAATCAAACTATCTCTTCCTGAATATTTGTAGTCTCCACTTGCTTCAAGGTTCTCCTCTTCCTGTTCTTCTGCTTCTTCATCGCCCTCAGTTTTGTAATAGGACTCCCACCCTGACATGTTGGCCTTTGCTCACTCTGGCGCAGGGAAGCAACCAATTTGGACAGAAGACGAGCAGAATTTAAGACTTTCTCATTCTTAAACAGATTTCGAGTTTTACCAGGTAAATATGGATAACCTAATATATCAGGAAATAACTATATACACTTACAGCTGAAGAATTCCACTAAAATAAGATGGATCACCCTACAAAAAGGCCTATCAGTCACATCCATGTGTAAGGAGTTTATGAAGGGGCAACAACTCACCAACAGATGAAGTGGCTACGTTGTCTTGGGCATATACTTTGGGGTTCATCTGTGCCAGGAAAATTTAGGATGTGGAAACACAAGAGGAGTTCAGGAGCAGAGATTTAGTAGGCAGAAGAGAAGAGAAAGAGAAATAGCTCTCTGTATAGACAGACAGGTTGCCAAGCAGAAAGGACCAGCAGGTGGCAGATGCCCTGGATTTTATAGTCAGGTTTGAGGCTGCGGTGTCTGATTGACATAGGGCTAACAGATTGGTTCAATCAGGTATGACATTTAAACAGCCCACAGGGAAGGCTAGCCATGCCATCCTATTCTTATTACGCAAATGAACTTTTCCATTGACTGGCACCATCTTGTCTGCTCCTTACTTACATGTGGCTGATAAAGAGAAGGCAAGATGGGGCCACCATTTTGACCATGATTGGCACAACTGCCAGCATCTATGTCTGCAGCTTGATTTCACTGGCTGTTCTTTGTTAGAAAGGAAAATGAACTGGGGCTGCTTTTCATTAAAAGGAAAACCTTACTGAGGACTTCCATACCCTCACTATCTGCCTAAGTAATTTATTCTTAACTCCTGTATCACAGACAACTGAGGAAGGCCTTCAGTGTGAAAGGCAGAGACCAAGAGAAATAAAAAAGGAAGCAGGAACATGCAAAGCAAAGCCACAGTGCAACACCACCTCACATCTGTCGGGACGGGACCGCCAAAAGAAAGACAAGCACTGGTGAGGATGTGGAGAAACTTGAACTCTATACATTGTTTTGAGGAATGCAAAACTGTATAACCTTTATGAAAAATGGTATGGGGTTTTCTCAAAAAATTAAAAATAGAATCACTATATGAGCTAGCAATCTCACTTCCAGATATGCACTGAAAGGAACTGAAATTGAGAGGTCAAAGAGACATCTGTACTCCCATGTTCACTGAAGCATTATCCACAATAGCCTAAATGTCCAATGACAGAGGAATGGATAAAGAAAATGTGGTGTGTGTGTATGTGTATGTATGTATGAAATGGAATACTAACCTAAAAAAGAGGGAAATCCTGCAACATGTGACAAGATGGTTGAGACTTATGCTAAAAGACATTATGCTAAGGGAGACAAATAACCTAGTCAAAGAGAACAAATACTGCATGATTTCACTTAGATGAGCTAACTACAATAGTAAAACTAATAGAAGCAGAGAACAGAACAATGTGGGGCAGGGAGGACAAATGCAAGGATTTGCTAATGAAAAGGTATAAAGTTCCAATAACGCAAGATGAGGAAGTTTCAGAGATCTGCTGTACAACATTGTGCCTATAATCACAACACTGCATTCGACACCTAAAAAAATATGTTAAGAGGGTAGATCTCAAGTTGTGTCCTTATCACAATAAAATAAAACAAATTTTTAAATAAAAGGAAGCAAGAAGAAACATGCAACAAAGAAAGAGAAAGGAAATAAATTGAATGTCTTCACATAACTAAGAAAAAATATTGTGAAACAAGGAATGGGGTGGGGGAAGAGCAGCCAAAGAGATGGATGAAACAAAAATAGATGAAAACAGGAAGATCAATCCAGCAAATTCAAGAGGAAACTAGCAAGAGTTCTGAAAAAAAGATAAAAGACAAAAAGAGAAGAAAGTTATCAAAGACATAATACCAAAAATATTTCCCAGACATGAATTTCCACATTTTAAGGATAAACAGAGTATCCAGTACTACCATTTTTCATTATAGACTTAAGGGATAACTGATTTCATATCATAAATATATTCCGTTGATAAAAATTAAAATATTTACATTTAAAACACTGCTTATAAACATTAGCCCTTACTGCCTAGACACATAGACTTTATGTTGGTGGCACCCTTGGAATAATAAAATTTATATATTTTGAAGCCAAATGGAAGTCCTCCCTTGAACTTTCCTTTTCAAGTCTGAGTAATCAGTTTCCTCTCATCTTTATCAATGCGTCTTTTAATTCAACTTTTCAATTCACGTAGTAGAGCTCACATCCTTCAGCCTTGTCAGTACTATTTATTTAGTATTGCCGTGTGTTGGAAATAGGATTCTAATCAGAGTTTTATCAGCAGTGACATTAATCTTCAGAGAGTGGTAAGAGAGATGTCTATGTTCCACACCACATGCACTCAGGGTTTTCGCTGTATCAAACTCTACCTTCATCACATGGTTTAGGTTGGATATAATGCTGGAATCATTTCCTTCCGATCTAATACATGCATAGTTCAATTGAATAACTGAACTATTTTGATTTTTCTGCCCATTGGTACTTATTCTCTGCCCTTCAGGTGTTCATGTTTGTACAGTGTCTCCCTCTCCACTACCACATTTTTGCTATTTTTTCTGAGTGCTGATGTTGGCCAAATGCATGTTGTGTTTGAGAATCAGTCCAGAGGCAGGGAGCAGAACAAGGAGGGAAGGAGGGCTAAAGATGACAAGGGCCTGAAACAGGGCAATGTGACAAGAACGCAGAGGAACTACAATGCTAGAGATTGCAGTAAACTAGACAAGGCTTTAGTCACCCTTTTTAAATGCAGAGTGCAGAGGAGTCTAGGATGACTCTAGTTTTCAACACAGGTAAGAAAGTGAGTAACAAGAATCCCGCTAAGAAAGAACAGAGACTTGGAGACAGAAGACTTGAGTCTTAAACCCAAGGTTCTAACACTTAACAAGTGTAAGCTTGAGTGATTCCCATGATACTCTTAGGGCTCAATTTACTCAACCATGAAGAGAAGGTAAAGCTCCCAGGTGAGACCTAACATGCCATGAGTCAGTGACCTCCCATTAAGCAACCTTTCAGAGCAAAGCATCAAAGCCAGAAGCAACGTGGGAAGACGTGAATGGCTGACATAACTAACAAAAAAGAACCACACTAAAAAATACACTTTCTTCCTTGCATCTTCACTCTGAGCTACCATAAACAATAATTTCTAACAACTTTGGGTTCACAAACCACAGGGAATAAAAAGCAAAAATCATCAAGGGAGAAAGAATAGGTACTGAAGGTGGAAAAAACAGTAGTCCTAAGCCAGAAAACAGATCAAATTACATTGAGTATCCTCTGATTTAAAAGATACAGAAAAGTAAGGTTAGAAAGTTATGTTCTATAAAAATTTCCATCAAAAATAGTTAAATTTATAGGATTTAGTCCTTGAAGGTTTAAGATTCAGTTATCTGGAAAACTAATTTATGATCAGTTACCTGGAAAATTCCATCTTATTCTGGAAAATAACCAGATAAATGGGGTATTACTGAATCTGCTACTTTAGTGAAAATAAATGAATCAAGTTTAAAACAAAAGCCTACTCAAATTTTAGACAGCTTATTTTTACCTGAAACACAGAGTATTTCTTATGAACTCCTTGTATATTTAAAATAGGAATCTATAACACTTTACATTGTTCAGATACACATCATAAATAGTAAACCAAAATCATTCCTTTTCTAAGAATAAACTCTCCCATGTATCAATTTGTCATTACCTAGGTGAGACAACAAAAATAGATAATGGAATCAATTACCTACACTAATGTGGGAGAAAACAGTATGGATGATAGCAAATAATGAACACATTAAATCACTTATTTTTTACTATCTAAGACATACTCAGGTAGTGGCACATACTTAATTACTTACACACGATGTTCTAACCAAACTACATTCTCTACTGGCTGGACTCAGAATACGATTGGGAAAATTGGGGTCTCAGCAAAAAAGTCCAATGGACATTGCAGTTAGCTTAAATTCAGTTATTCAAATTTTAATAAAATAAAAAATTTTAATTTTCAAATGCTTACTATTCAAATGAAGATAATGTCTGTCATATTTCTTAATACTAAGTAACCTAAGTCAAAATAAGCATGAATATTTCAATACAAAACAATGAGTAAATAAAGGACTTACATTAAGCATTAGAATAGGGCACAGATAAAGATCAACCCCAAATATGCTCAATGTGATCAAGTAAAAACATGAACTTATCAAAAGTTCCACACTAAATACCAAATGAAAACCCTATGTAATTTGAGGGTATTTTGGTTTGACAGGAACATCCAAAATTCAAAGTAGAGTTCATATTAGTCAAATCTTGTTAGACTCTTGAATGATGATTTATTCACTACTATACAAAGCAGAGTTATTTTGGTAGAATATTCTAATAGCTTAATTCCAAACACAAGCCACATCATTTCCAAATCAATGAAAATTCAACAGACGTTACCAACTATACAATAAAGACTTCTCATTGCAAAACTAATTTTAATGATATTTAGACTTGACCTATGGATAGCTGTGGACAATGTTTTTTATACATAGGGAAATAATAAGACAAGTGATTAATTCTTTCAGAAAATATGTTATCACACAAATTGTTTCACAGATGGAATTCAAATACTCACTGAGTAACTCCTCATGAGATAAATGAATGCTGATATTCTGTGTTCGCATTCAGCTACCTTGGTCTATATTTTCCTTATTTATGTACATAAGCTAACTTCATATTCCAAGTAATTTTGAAATATTAACACATAATATATTTCACATGCCTATCTATTTGAAAAGTATTTTTAATATTATCACAAATAAATAACAGGAATACTATTTACTCCTTCTGTTGTTCCTTCTATCAATATATTTTTCTTTTATAAAGTATGAGTGAACTTTTAAGTTCTATTCATTCCTTACACTTTGAGAACCCATTATCAGTAGATGTTTTCTGTAGGTTATCACATAGGTTAATAACATTATAAAAGACAAATTTTCCTTTAGTAATTTGGAAAGCCCTAAAATTTTAATAATCATTTAGCCACTGTGAAAAAACATAAAATCCATAAACTTTCATTGAAAATGTTTATGCGGGGGTGTGATGAACAGCTGTGAAGGATGCCACAGAAGATATTCTTGCATCAGAGATATCTAATTCCTGCTCTTAGGCAAGTTGAAATGGGTCATTTCTAAGACTTTCTGGTTTATTGTATCTTTATTTTTAAATGTATGCAAATGAACTCATTGCTATTTTGAGCTAATATAATGGGTCCTTTTTATATACCACTAGCATGAATGTAAATTGGTGCTAGATTTTGGGGATATAATTTGACTATACTTTTTGAGAGTCTTTAAACTTTCTTATTTGATCAAGTTACTCCATTCTTAGAACTCTAGTCTAAGGAATACTCTTAAATACAGAATTTCATCCACGAAGTTATTTATCACATAATAATAAGAGTCCAGACCTGTCCCTCCCTACCACATCCCCCAACCAGCATCTGTCAATGTCTCTTCTTATCCAGGCTCAGGCTGGGATGTCCTTAGGAATACAATTTTGTCTGCAAGGATGTGGTGCTCTTCTCAGTATTTCTCCCTGAGAGGCACTTGATGTGACTATAGCCCACCACTCAATCATCTGGTCACCAGCTTTCCCTCTATAATTAATATATATTTTGGAGGAGATAGCTCAAGACTACATCAATACTCTGTTTCTCATCAAACAGCCCCACACCAACATTAGCATCTATTAATAACTCCCACTTGAATCAACCACCACCACAGTGGTTGCCAAATGGTGAATTTTTAACTCCATCATTCCTTCATTTATCAGGCATCCTACTGTAAACAACAACAATAAAACTTTCCTTCTCTCTCATTTATTTAATGTATACCCATCACCATCATTTAGTCTCTTGCTCAAATTGTCCAAAATTTGGCCAGTGAGAGTCCCTTCAAGCTGGGTCCTGTAACTTGAAATGCTCCCATCGTGCTTAGTGTTTCCTTACTTTCTAGCACAAATATGTTTTCCAAGGTCATTTTGTACTTATCCTGGAATTAACAATTTCTCAAGGAGCCTTGGTTCCTTTTGAGTAGAGAATGGAATTTACAAACGAGAATCGAGGCACGTGGCAAACTCACTGCTGATACGTGATCAACTGCTCCTAGGCTTTCTGGGTGTGTATGCGAGTATCTATATTATCATCTACATGTACATGTTTCCAAAACCACGAGTTTACATTAATTCTTCCAATTCTGGTCTAACACCCCAAGGTTCTATTTAATCTTCGCCCTTTCCACATTTACAAATCCATTATCTGTTGATGATAAACTTAGTTCCCTTTACCCTCAATATATTTACTTATTTGCTCAATCCCCTGCATGTAACCAGTTTAGCACTCATGCTAGTTACCTCCCTAGCTCAGTCCCAGTGCCTCTTTAAACCCTAGCCTGATTGCTCCTTCTTCAGCCCCTGTAGCTAGTAATACCTGAAAAGCAAGGGGAGAAAAGGAGATCAGGAAAAGCCCATAAAAAGCCCAAATGAAATTCCTCATTTCCAGCCCCAAACCTACCTCTTTCTGTGTCTTGCACTTTTTGATAAATACCATAATTCACCCCATTGTTCAGGGCAAAATGTAGGGTTCACCTCTTTCCCTCATTCTGCAGATCTAATCCATTATCAAGTCCTGTGCACTCTGTCTTCAAAATAAAACCCAAGTCCTGTCACTTCTGACCATCTTCAGGGTGATCCTATAGTCCAAGCTGCCTTCATCACTTCTTGTTAAAGAATCTCCTACATTACCTCCCTTGCAATCCTATGGTCTATTTCTCCAGACAGCAATCAGAGTAATCTTTTTTCTAAATAAATCTTCCATGGCCTTCTCTTACACGTAAAACCAATAAAATCTAAATACTTTCCCATGCCTTAGGCTCCTGGATCACCCCTGCTACCTTTCCAGCCTCACCTTCTTCACTCATCCTAGACACGCAGCCTCACCTCCTACCACTCACGCCCCAGCCGACTGTCATCCCACATCACCTCCCACCATTAACCCCCCAGCCGACTATCATCCCACCTCACCTCCCACCACTCACCCCCCAGCCAACTATCATCCCACCTCACCTCCCACCACTCACTCCCCAGCCAACTATCATCAAGCCATTCTGACCTTCTTGCCAGCCCTGAGACACTCCAGCCTCAGGACCTCTTGACTTTTTGCTCTTTTCCCTAAACTGCCCTTTATGGCATCGTATCAATCAGGTCTCTGCTTGAAATTCACTTCCCCTGAAAGGCCTTCCATGACCACAGCACACGCCTTTATCTCCATGTTCACAATCTGCTTCATGTTCCTCACAGTACTTAACACTATCTGCAGCTCTATCAAGTGTCTTTATCACTTGCTGACTGCCTCTCTCCCACACCAGAATGTAATTTGTATATAGCATCTTATTTACCATAGCATTTCCATTGCTTACAACAGTGCCTCAGATGTTGTGGACATTTGGAAAATATTTGCTACACTGACACATTAAAAGAAATGTGTATATAAAACATTTTATAAAAGAGAAATATAATTATAAGATATGTGCTTACTATAAATGCCAAAATAGCAGGGCTAGTGACCACTAACACTGCCAAGAGCAGACCAAACCAGAAAGATGTCATTAATAATAGAACTTATATAATTATAGCACACTGAAACTGAAGGTAGATTTATAGCAAGTTAACTGACAACCTGCTGTCTGAAGATTATAAAAGGTAAGCAGAGAGTGTCTCAAAAAAAGCCTTTCTGAGCTGCCCACATGACAAATATCTTCATAATACAAAGCTAAATCCGGAAGATAAACATAAAATTCAAAAATGTATACTCCAGTGGTTTGTATATGCATCAGGACTGAAAAACAACCAAATAAAAGACCATCCATGGCTCTTCACAGCTGTAAAAAAAGAAAAAGAAACAGAACCAATATACAAATAAGATAGATTGATGGCATGAAGAAAAACTTGACAAAAATAAATGGGACTGCAGGAAACAAACATGACGGTGAAAAAGAGAAATGAAAGTAACCACTTCATCCAGCATTCCCAAACAAAGTGATGGAGAAAAACATAACTAAAAGTAGAATTCCACCAAACTACTATCTGCAGACAATGAAAAAATTTTGTAGACATAACATGCACACACATAATATATATACTCATATTACCTTATATGTGGAAAATATGTGCTATAGAAAGGGAGCTGATATAATTCCAATATGAAAACAATGATTAAATGGAAGTTATGATAAATTGTAGAGGAAGAACTGACTTTAAAAATAATCTCCAATATGTGAAAAATATTGCCAGTTTAAAGTAAAATAGGTATCCTAACAAAAAAAATCTATGGTAAATTCTACTAAGTAAAACTGAACAGTAAAAATATATCCTATAAAGACCACAGTGTGAATTATTTGGGAGTAGAGATATATTATCTCAATCTCTATTCCCAACCAAATGTTAAATCCTTAGTAAAACATAAACCATATTTAAGTAACAAAATTACATAAAACAAATTATTACATTAAAATTGATCACTTTTTTTTATTTCTCAAAGAACAAGAAGTTAGAGAATTCCATGAAGAAGATCTTTTACAATGAAGACAGGAAATAATAGGGCATTTGGGGGAAGTCACTTGGAAAATCAATTCCAAATTATGGCCTGGAAGTTGATATCACCTGTCCAAAATCATCCCCTCGTTAGAAATGGGACTCTGAGAGAAAAAAAATACCTGACAGGAATTAATCCTGACCTAATGCCAGAGTAAAGGCCTTTGCAATCAGAAGGATATTGTACACACAGCACCTACCAAAAACACTTTCCAGGTTGGTGGTGCTAGGAGAGGCCGAGTTCAGTTCAGTCACCTTAACCAACCAACCACACTCACAGACTACTTGGAGAGCAAGCATACTATGCCATCAACCTCCCAGACACAAGAAAAGGGAGACACTGAGTCAAAACAACCTCAGGAGTAAAGAGGGTTCTCCTTAGGTGCCAGTGAGAAAACTACCCAATCTCTATCTGCCAGAAAAACAGACAGAAAATGAGCTGATGCTCCCCAAACCCACTCCTGGTGGCTTAAATCTATGGAGAGATGCCCATCATCATGCCCAGACATACAGTCACCCCTCAAGATCCATGGGTGTTGGTTCCAGGGCCCATCAAGAATAGCCATATCCTGAGATGCTCAAGTCCCTGACAGAAAACAGTGTAGTATTTACAAATAACCGATGTGCATCCTCCTGTATACTTTCACTCATCTCTAGATTAGTTATAATACCTAATACAACCTAAATGCTATGTAATAGTTGTCATATGTTTTCTTATTTGTATTATTTCTATTATTGTATTGTTATTTTCTTTCAAATATTTTGATCCACAATTGGTTGAATCTGTGCATGTGGAACCTGAGACATGGAGGGCAAACTATAACCTGCCTCTCTTATGGTGTGATCTGTATTTTGGCTCCCAGGCAACTGACTGTGTCTGGAGAAAAATACACAATTATACTGACTGGTCTTCCTCTGAATTCATAATCACAGCCTCAAGCAGACAATTCTTGCTGCCTGGCATGGTCCATTGACATTTCCACTGCCCTAGTATTGCATACTGCTTTCTGCAAGCCTCCCACATCTCCTTCCTCTTCCTCACTTTCTGCTGATGACCTTGCTCCTGGGAAAATAAATATGATCAGAAGAGTCCCTGTCCAAGCACTCACCTCTTCATCTTCCCACCTACCTGCCTCCATACTGGATGTTCTGCCTTCTCTCCTTGTGCTATAGATAAATTGGCCATGCTCCTATCTAAAGCCAAAGCATGCACTGGACACTAGATCAATAACATAATTCCGGCAATTCTATCCTCCCTCTTCTAACTTTTTGTCTCTGCTGTTGCTAACTTTTGTCTCTGCTGATCTTCCCCCTCTGTCCACAAATACTCTATTACATTTTTTAAAGCCTCTTGAAAGTCCCTCTCTCCCTCCACCAGCTGCCACTTTCTACTTCCTTTACCAAAAAAAAAACAAAAGAAAAGAAAAGAAAAAAACCCGCATAAGAATTGTCTATCTTGCAATCTCCCTTTTCATTCTTTCCATTGCCACTTGAATCTACTCCGGTTTTCGTTATTGCCATTTCATCAAAGCTGTTCTTTAGTGGCACCAATAACACCCACGTGGTTAAATTTAGCATGTGGGTCTCAGGCATCCTCTGGCTGAGGGGGAAGCCATGCTCGGCACAAGGGATCTTTCTTCCCACAGCTTCCAGGACACCATATTCTTCTGGTTTCCCCACAGCTCTGGCTATTCCAGCCAGTGCAGGCTCTTTTCCTTGTTCTTCTTTATCACCAGAACTCTACATGTTGGAGAGGCCCAGTTTTCAGTTAAAAGACCTCTTCTTTTTTTTTTAATGTAAGGTGCTTTTTATTTTTTTAAGAGAAAAAAGAAAGGAAGAAAAAGAGAGAGAAAGAAAAAAGAAAAGAGAGAAAGAGGGAGAGAGAACGGGAGTCTTTCTCTATTGCCCAGGCTAGAATGCAGTCTAAAAATGGGTATTAAAAAACTCTTTTATGCCAATAAATGTGCTTAACAATGGAGACAGGAAGGAATAAGGGAGGAAAATAACAAACAAGCAGCCAACCAATATTTCATTTAAACCTGTGAAAATGCTATGCAATTGCTGAGGAGTGATTTACTTCCAATTTTGTGGTCACTTTTAGAATAGGTATGATGTGATACTGAGAAAAATGTATGTTTTGTGGATTTGGGGTGGAGAGTTCTGTAACTGTTTATTAAGTTTACTTATTTCAGGTCTGAGTTCAAGTCCTACATATCCTTGTTAACTTTCTGTCTCGTTGATCTGTCTAATATTGACAATGCAGTGCTAAAGCCTCCCACTATTATTATGTGGGAGTCTAGGTCTCTTTGCAAGTCATTAAGAACTTGTCTTATGTATCTGGATGCTCCACATTGGGTACATACGTATTTAGAATCGTTAGCTCTTCTTGTTGCATTAATCCTTTTACCATTATGTAATGTAGTTCTTTGTCTCTTTTGGTCTTTGCTGCTTTAAAGTCTATTTTATCAGAGACGAGAATTGTAACTCCTGCTTTTTTTTTGCTCCCCATTTGGTTGGTAAATCTTCTTCCACCCCTTTGTTTTGAGTCTTTGTGTATCCTTGCATGTGAGATGAGTCTGGATGCAGCATACCGATGGGTTTTGGCTTTTTATCCAATTTTCCTGTCTGTGTCTTTTGATTGGGGCATTTAGTCCATTTAAATTTGGGATAGATATTGATATATATGAGTTTAATACTGCCATTTAATGCTAGCTGGCTGTTTTGCCCATTAGTTCATGTAATGGACTATTATGGTGATGCTCTTTACCTTTTGGTATGTTTTTGGAATGGCTGAAACTAGTTGTTCCTTTCTATGTGTAATGCTTCTTTCAGAAGCTCTTGTAAAGCAGGCCTGGTGGTGATGAAATCTCTGAGTACTTGCTTGTTCGCGAAAAATTTTATTTTTCCTTCAGTTATGAAGCTTAGTTTGGCTGGATATGAAATTCTGGGTTGAAAGTTCTTTTCTTTAAGGATGTTGAATATTGGGCCCCCACTCTCTTCTGGCTTGTAGGGTTTCTGCTGAGAGATCTGCTGTGAGTCTGATAGGCTTCCCTTTGTGGGTAACCTGACCTTTTTCTCTGGCTACCCTTAGTATTTTCTCCTTCATTTCAACCCTGGTGAATCTAACAATTATGTGCCTTGGGATTGCTCTTCTTGAGGAATATCTTTGTGGCATTCTCTGTATTACCTGGAATTGAGCATTGTCCTGCCTTGCTAGGTTGGGAAAGTTTTCCTGGATAATATCCTAAAGAATATTTTCCAGCTTGGATTCATTCTTTTTGTCACATTCAGGTACACCTATCAAACATAGATTAGGTCTTTTCACATAGTCGCATATTTCTTGGAGACTTTTCTCATTCCCTTTTAGCCATTTTTCTC